GGAAAGGAAAGGAAAGGAAAGGAAAGGAAAGGAAAGGAAAGGAAAGGAAAGGAAAGGAAAGGAAAGGAAGAGAAAACTGAACCTTTGTATGTTAAATTACTCATTGAATTCACAGACCATAACTGACAATGGTAGAGTCTCTTGACCTCAGATCTCTCTCTCTCTTACTACGCCATGGCAAAACTTCTCAAGAGTTATCTTCACCCTTGTTCTCCTTGATTAACCCCTGCCACACTGGTCCACAATCCACTATGTCACAGAAACTGTCCTTATCTAGGCCCACAGTCTCTGGTTGCTAAATCCAATAATCAGTCCTCTGTCCTCTTAGCAGCACTCCACCCAGGTGATGAACTGCTCCTTGCTTGGCTTCCTAGACACTCTTCTGGTGATACAACTGTCTCACTCACTGCATCTTCTTTCTCCTTTGCTGGGTTTTCCTCTTCCCAACTTGTACATGTTGAACTGGTCCAGGGTCCAATTTTCAGACCCCTATCTTCTCTCATTCCTAAGTGAGCTCATCTAGCCACATGTATTTATATTCCTTTTGATGCCAATAATTTCCAAGTGGGAATCTCCCTTCTGATCTGTCCATAAGCTTCAGATGCATATAACCCAACTCCACAGTTAATCTTTCCTCCTGCTATACCAAGCATTTTATTGAAAGATCCTCCTAACCAGTATGGTGAGTGGTTGGTTAAATTTTTCAAAAGTTGAATATTCTCTGGGTAAAGTGGAGAATCATTTAAAAACAAAGTACACATAACTTAAACATTTTCTTTTTATTTAAAACACAAAGATTCATTCATTAGCCAATCTTTTTATATAAGACCAAAGCCTTTTCTTTGAATGCAGGCCCACAACTAAATGTTCTGTATCATCTTTCTTACATAAACTATAATACACTGAATTGTCCTGTGATTTCAAGTTTCATTTTATCTAAAATAGAACAAGAACATAAAGACACTAACAACACACCCAGAATGCTTTTAGATTTTTATGATTTTTCTCAATCTTTTACAGCTGGCTTGCCTATACTTAATTCTATGGCAATTTTTTAAGAACCAACTCTATTTTTTCAAGTTAGTTCTCAAACAACAGTCTTCATTTTCAAACCCACAACTCTCTTTTTAAACTCAGTATTCATCAGTTTATGTGACACTTAATGAATTATGTAATTACAATAATAATTACAATGATAATAACAAGTATAATGGGGCTCTTGGTGGCACATAATTCAACTGAAAGGAGCAGAGGAGCATGGTACACTAAATGATGGTCTATTAGCTTTAGGGTGTTTAGTGTGCTGTTGGCATCAGGTAATATGTCTATGGCGAAAATGGAAAGTATTGGTTAATCTGAGTCCATTAAAGGAAAATGGGCCAAATTTCCACTTCCCACCTCTATCACCATGAAGCCATGCCTCCTCCAGGCTTCCTCACCTCAGTAAATGGCACTACTCAGTCCCTGAAGCTAAAACCTTTCATTCTTCTCTCTTCCTTGCCAATACCTAAGGCAGCAATACTGCCTGTCTTTCTAGGAACTTTCAAAAGATATCCCTGATATATTCACTTCTCTCCAATTTCATCCCTATCAGTCCACATTGTCACCACTCCCAACTGTAATAACTTCCTAACTAGTCTCACTTCTCTTCTTGCCCCCCCCTCGATCCATACAACACAAAACAGCCCAAGAGAACTCTGTAAAATGTGAATGAGACAGCATCACTTCTCTACTTTTAACTCTTCAATGGCTACTCATTATTCACAAAATAAAACAGAAACTCCTTGCCATATCTACCAGATCCTAATGGAGCCAGCACCTAGCTACCCCTCCAGCTTCATTTCATACCATTCTCCCCTTGCACTCTGCTTTAGGCACACTGATGGCTCTTCTCCATTCCTCCAATATGCCAACTCCTCACCAGGGCCATTGCACATGCAGTTCATTCTGCCTGGAATGAGTTCTACTGACTCTTCATAAAACGCACATCTTATTTTTCAAATATTATGTCCTCAGAGAGACCTGTTTTGATCACTCTAACTAAAGGAGTCTTCCTTTGGGGCTCTTTTGTGTCTCTCACATCCAAATTACTCTGTATCACATCATCTTATGGGGAGTTTCTTCCTTCCTAACAGTTACCAAACATGGTAACTAGCTTACTTAATTATATACTTCTATGTTTCTGTTTCTATCCACTAAAATGTGAAATTTCATTATTGCACAAATTTCCTCCACCTTGTTCACCACTGCTTTTCTTACTACCCAGCTCCATACCGAGAGTAACTGCTTAATAAATATTTTCTGAAGAAAAAAATGGGTCTTCTGAATAAGACCCACTAAATATATTCTCTATGAGATCAACTGGTATTTCTCTGCATAAAAATCCTAAACTCATGTCAAAAAAAAAAAAAAAAAATCTGTATAAGAATGTTCAGAGCAGGGGCACCTGAGTGGCTCAGTCAGTTAAGCATCTACCTTCAGCTCAGGTCACGATCCCAGGGACCTGGGATCAAGCCCTGGGTTGGGGTCCTTGCTCAGCAGGGAGCCTACTTCTCCCTCTCCCGCTACCTACCGCTCCCCCTGCTTGTGCTCTCTCTCTCTCTCTCTCTCTGTCAAATAAATAAATAAATAAATAAATAATCTTTAAAAAAAAAAAAAAAAAAGACCGTTCAGAGCAACTTTATTCACAATAGTTAAAATCTGGAAACAAACCAAATGCCCATCAAAAGGAGAATGGAAAAACAAATTATAGTATATTCCCTAGTATGAATATACTAGGGAATATTAATTACTCAGTACATAAAAAAGAATGAGCCAGTGATAAGTGTCTCAAAAGCACTTTGTGAAATCAACCAAACAGAAAAGAGTACCTTCTGTATGATTTCAAGTATATAAAGTTTAAGAACAGTACAAAACATCTATGGTGAGAAAAATCAGAGCAGCAGTTGCCTGTAGAAGGTGGAGACTGGTTGGAAGGAAGCACAAAAAGAACTGGAAACGTTCTACATCTTGACAGGTCTGAGGGTTACATGGGTATACACATTATAAAAATGATTAAATTACTCACTGCCATGCAAATTGTATCAGTTTTTTAAAAGGTCAAAAGTCTTACATTTGCTCACTCAGATTATCACATGGGATAAAGAAACCTAAGAAATGGAACCACACTACTGTCCATTTTCACCAAGACCTACTTACTAATTTGTTCATTCACCTCCTAATCTCCTACTCTTTTTTGGCAGAAAAATGAAAAGATTTGGACCAAAATGTTTGATTAATTGTTCCTTGTAGCAACATACTGGGAAAATATATACCACTATGAAAGATAACTTATGCATTTATATAGAGTAAATAATATAAAACTGTGACAGAAAGCATAAACCAATATATGAGCAATTATAAAAGGAATAACCAATAAAGAACATTAATGAGATGTCAAAGTAGGGCGCCTGGGTGGCTCAGTTGGTTAAGCGACTGCCTTCGGCTCAGGTCATGGTCCTGGAGTCCCGGGATCGAGTCCCACATCGGGCTCCCACTCAGCAGGGAGTCTGCTTCTCCCTCTGACCCTCTTCCCTCTCGTGCTCTCTATCTCTCATTCTCTCTCTCTCAAATAAATAAAATCTTTAAAAAAAAAAAAAAATGAGATGTCAAAGTACACCCATCATGAATTGTGTGATAACAAACCCCCAAGCTATGAGCTGAGCAAGAATGTTGTGGCTTTCAACTTCTTTCTACCCATCAAAACACCTAAGAAATGCGACACATAGACTCATGATGGTACACTAATGTGCAAAATGCAAACAAAGAATGCAAAAGACTAAAAAACAGAGACATGTAATTAGAATGTAAAAATATCTACATGAATCCAATATATACATTTCCTTATAACACACTCTACTCTCTAATCAGCCATGTTAAGAATCACTATCTAGAACTGCAAGAACCAAAACAGTAGTCATGGGCCACATGTAGCTACTGAGCACTTAAAATGTGGCAAGAGCATATGAGAAAGTGAATTTTTAATTTTACTAAATGTTAACTATTTTAACTTTAAAACATATTCAATTCAATTACTAGAAAGTTTAAAGTATGTTTAGAATAACCTGTCATGTAGACCTACTTTTTCGACTGTTAATTTTATGAAATTTAAGTACAAACCAAATATTTCTAATGAAAACTTAGTGCCATAACTGAGATGTGTTGTAAGTATAAAATATACACTGGTTTTAAAAACTTAATAAAAAAAAAAAGAAAGAAAAAAGAAAACAGCTCACTAATAATTTTTTCACTGGTTAAATTTTTGAAGGGACATTTTGGATTCACTGGTTTACATAAAATAATCATTAAAATTAATTTCACCTGTTTCTTCCTACTTTTTTTAAATGTAGCTTCTAGAAAACTTAGAAGTACGTATGTGGCATGCATTGTATTTCTACTGGAAAGTACTATTCTAAAGCTTATATGTCTAAATGCAGATAGAGATATCATTATGATACATTAATGATTAACATTTCAAACACCTCCTGACCTTTTCACTTGATTGTCTTCTTTTCTTTAGTTGAATGAAATCTGTTTCCACCCTTTCTGCCAGCTCTAGTTTCCTCTTGTTTCTTTTAAATGCAGCTAAACTGAATCCTATAAAAGAAACATTAAAAGTAACATTTGAGAAATATTAAGGCAATGAGGTAATGAGATATCCTGAAGAGCCTTCCTTAAGAATGTTGAATAAAGGGTTAAAAAAGTTTTTCCAATGTACACTGAGGTGGTAGGAGAATAAGAGAAATAACCTAAGGTTAAAGAAGAAAGAAAAAGGTTAAATCCAGATAGGCAAATGAGTCCTGAAGGTAGATGGTACCCAGAGGTATCTGCTAATGCATGCTACTGCCAACTTTGGTTTTGAAGGTCTCTATGCATAAAGGACAAGGAATGAAATCTGGGGACAATACAACATGAGAAAACATATTAGAGATTTTCCCACAAAAAAACGTAAGGTATCTCAAGGAATAACATGCCCAGTGAAAGGGAAAACTAGAAAAGGCCACTGTGTCCAAAGAAACAGGAAACTTGCAAGTCTCAGCTATGGCTATAAATGTAAAGGAAGAAAACACCCACTAGAAAATTCATGAACAAAAACTATGTTCAGACAAGTTTAAGGGAGAATTCTTATTATCTGTGTGGTCTGAAAACACACATACACACACACACACACACACACACACACACACGTGATCTTGGTGTTGCAGAGCTTCAAAAACCCATCAAAAAACAAATGCAAATACTCCGTAGAAAAACACATGTTAACTTACCAGACCTCAGAGAATTCCCACATTCCAATTAACATGAGCCCATAGTTTAAAAAACAAACAAAAAAAGATTTACAAAATACATGAGAAATGAACCACCAAAAATAATAGACTAAAAGCCAGCCAAATATAAAAAAGCATACCATGACCTACAAAGGCCTCAAATATGGAATAATCAGATATAGAATAAAAAACATATTTATGCTCACAGAAATTAAGAAAAAAGATATTGAAAATATAATTAAGGGACAAAAAATGATAAAATGACCAGGCCGACTTAAAGAAGAACAAAATGGAGCTTCTAAAAATAAGAAATATAATAATTAAAAATTTTAAACTTGACATACAGATTTCAACAGCCTACTAGATTCAGCTGAAAAAAGAGAAATTATAAACTAGAATATAATGCTAAAGAGATTATCAAAGTTTTCTGATAATGGCAGACTAAATTATTCAGAGTAATTCTCCTACTTAATTTACTAAAAATGTTCGATAAAATATGAAGAAACACCACCTTAAAAACATTAAAACCTTATAAAAAGTACCAAGCTAAATTCCGGGGTAAACTGAGGACTAATGCTGTTATTACTGTACTGTGAGCATTTGCCAACACTAGTACACATGAGTTTGGTTAAATGGCATCAAAGAGAGACGTAAGTCAAGCCCAGAGCCCATCAGAGGTGAGAGTTTCATAAGAGACACTTCCCACAATAAGCTGGGGATTGAAAGGGCTAATGCTCTCACAGTAGAGCTGATTCAGAACTATGCAAGTCCTCTCTTACTTCCTATCCCAACTCCAAGTACATTCAAGCAAGACTGCCTTGGATCAAGGGGGAGAAAAGAATAAGGAGGAGGAAGAGGACAGGGATAAGAGGACTTAGAAAGAAAAAAACTACCACTGAGAAGTCTGGAGTTGACTGAAGCCCTTGCATAGAGATTTGCAAACATGTAGTCTGGGTGGGTCAGGGAATGTTAAGCTTTGAACTAAGTTTAAGTAGATTCTGATTAATGGTGTGTAAAATAATAGAAAATATATATATTGTTCTCTGCCCTTAGTTCCTGGGAAAGATCTCTTAAAACCCTTGTAATTTCCTAAATTATAAGAGCACTAGGACCATTTTTTGTTCTAATATTTGGTCTTTGACCCGCTTCTCACAGAGCTTCTAAATCCCTTGGCATTTCTTGGGTGATATGAATGTCTTTTGTTTTAATGAGGTAACTCTCTTAGTGGGCTCCTAGATAGCATCAGGATGAAGACTGATCACCAGAAAGACTAAACCATAATTAAAAGCTTGAAACTTTCACCCCATCCCCATCCTCTGGGAAGTAGGGAAGTACTGGCAATTGAGTTAAAGACTGAGTGTGCCTACATGATGAAACCTCCATAAAAATTCCAAAAGTACAAGGTTTGGGGAGCTTCCAGGTAGCTAAACATATATGTCAGGAGGATGATACAAGTTAATCGAACCCAAGGATGGGGTCATGGGAACCTCTGATTCATAGCCAGTTGGTCAGAACTACAAGTGACAAGCTAGACTTCCAATTGGTATCTAAAGAGGAAGTGGTAGATTTATGAGACTGAGCCCTAACCTGTGTGGTCTACACTAACTCCAGCTGTAATCAGAATTGAACTGAACTGTAGGACACCCAGATGTTGTTGAAGAATTGCTTGGTGTAGAAGCCCACACATCTGGTGTCAAAAGTGGTGCAGAGAGGTTTGGGGTTTTTTTGGGGGGGGGAGGGTTTGAGAGAGAGAGAGAGCACGAGTGGGGGGCAGGGGAAAAGGGAGAAGCAAACTCCCTCCTGAGCAGGGAGCCTGACATGGGGCTCGAACCCAAGACCCTGAGATGATGACCTGACCTGAAGTCAGATACTTAACCAACTGAGCCACTGAAGTGCCCCAAAGTACAGAGTTCTGAGTATGATAGTAGTATGAAAGTAAAAGAGAGAGGAGTGTTTTTCCTATAAACAGTGCACACACAACTGGCAAAAATAAATGCAAAAAATAATATCTAGAGAAAAATGCCTTTATCCTAGCCCATAGTGAAACTACACAAATAATTATTCAAGGGCAATGAAAGGCACATAGTCAAAAATAATCAGGCACCAAAAAAATGGGGCACCATAAATGAGAACATACAGGAAAAAATTCCAATTTGGATCTCAGATACCAGAATTATCAGGCACAAATATAAAACAAGTACACCTCTAATGATTAAAAAAGATAACAGAACATGAAAAACATCTACAGATCATACTATAAACTAAAAGAAAGCAAAGACTATTAAAAAAAACAAAACAAAACAAAAACAGAACTTCTAGAAATGAAAAGATAAATAACCAAAACTAAGATCTCAATGTACATGTTTGGTAGCTGATAGGATACAAAAAAAAAGAGCTGGTGAATTAGAAGACTGATCAGAAAAAAGTTAGCCAGAATGCAGCTAGAAGAGATTTAATGGAACTAGAGGTATTATGATAAGCAAAATGAGTCGATCAGAGAAAGACAATTATCATATTTTCTCACTCATATGCGGAATTTAAGAAACAAGGCAGAGGATCATAGGGGAAGAGAGGAAAAATGAAACAAAATGAAACCAGAGAGGGAGAAAAACCATAAGAGACTCTTAAACTTAGGAAACAAATTGAGGATTTCTTGAGGGGAAAGGGGGAGCGGGTTGGAGATGGGATGGCTGGGTGATGGACATTGGGGAGGGTATGTGTTGTGAATCCTGGATCACAGAACTGTACCCCTGAAACAAATAATACATTATATGTTAATTTAAATAAATAATTAAAAAAATAAAAGATATAAAATGATACAAAACACAAGAAATATTAATAGGGTAGATAATGTAAGAAGGCCTAATGTTATGTTTAATCAGGATTTCAGAAGATGAAAGTAAAATAATGGGATAAAGGTAATGTTTTAAAAAACTGAATAAGAGGGATGCCTGGGTGGCTCAGTTGGTTAAGCCTCTACCTTTGGCTCAGGTCATGATCCCAGAATCCTGGGATCAAGTCCCACATCAGACTCCTTGCTCGGCAGGGAGCCTGCTTCTCCCTCTGCCTGCCACTCCCCCCTGCTTGTGCTCTCTCTCTCTCTCTCTCGCTCTCTCTCAGACAAATAAATAAAAATCTTTAATAAAATAAAATTAAACAAAAAATAAAATAATAAAAATTAAAAATGAAATAAGAATTTTTCCAAAATTATAAAAGCCAGTAATTGGGAGGAGGAGCAGGATGGTGGAGGAGTAGGAGATCTAAATTTCGTCTGGTCCCAGGAATTCAGCTAGATCGGTATCAAACCATTCAGAACACCTACAAACTCAACAGGAGATGGAAGAAAAGAATAGCAGCAACTCTCTGAACAGAAAAGCGACCACTTTCTGGAAGGTAGGACATGCACAGAAGTGAATGTGAGGCAATATTTGGGAAGACAGATGGGGGGCAAGGGGGAGCCGGCTACTGGCAAGTGATAGAGCAACGGAGCACAAAATTGAAACTTCTAAAAGTCTGCTCCAGTGGCTAAGTGGGGGATGGAACCCACGCTGGGACAGTGTGGTCTCAAGACTCTCGGGGTCACAGAAAGACTGGGGGTGCCTGAGTGCAGCAGACGTCCCAAGTATCAGAGCAGGGAAGCCGGCTGGAGGAGTGGGCTCACAGCTTGGGGTTGCCAAAAACAGTGATCTGCAGCACAGTCGGACCACCGTTCTTCCAGGAGGGACCCAACAAGCAGCAAACCAGGGGAGACTCCCCTTCCTCCCCCAGGAGTGCACTGAAGGAATGTACTGGGTTTGGAGACTCCACACAGGGTCGTGTGCCAGAGATAGAAATGCTCAGTCACAGGCCGCGTGAGCACGGAGTGCGGCCAAAGACCAGGGAGACAGGAGTGATTGACTGCTTTTCTCTGCGGGCTCACTGAGGAGTGGAGCACCAAGTTCTCTGCTCCACCACGGTGGAGATTAGGAGGCCGCCATTTTCACTCTCATCCTGCAAAGCTGTAGGGAAAGCCTGAAGGGAACAAAAGCTCCCGAGAGCAAACCCGAGATTACTTAGCCCCGACCCTTGCGAGGGCAGTGTGATTCTGCCTCAGGCAGACATTTGAGAATCACTGCCACAGGACCCTCCCCCAAAAGATCAGCAGGAACAGCCAGACAAGACCAAGTTTACCGATCAATGAGAACAGCAGAACTCCAGCACTAGGGTGCTGGGAAATACAGCACATATAATTCATGACTGTTTTTCCCCATGATACTTTAGTCTTTCAAAGTTACTTTCTTAAAATTTACTTTTTTCTATTTTTTTTGAATTTTTCTTTTTCCCTTTTTC